ACTCCTACAAATAATGTTTTGGACAATGCTTGCAAGGGACAAAATACATCTCTATCAATATGACTGAAAAGTAAACAAGGATAACATTGGTAAAAGGGTGTACTATTTTCTCTTTTGCTAGCAGACAGGAAAAAAATAGCATAATAAATGAAGTTCTTGCTAATATGAAGTTATGCTCAAGAGAACTTATCAAGTGAAATTTCACAAAACAACTCGGTTTCCCATAGGTGTACTGCCTAGGTGGGATACAGCTGGTTCATTGAAAAAAATAATAATAATAATCTTTATTTCAACAAGTACATGTACAAGGTATACAGGCCTAGCTAACATCAATGACAAACTACTATACAGTAGTACCTTGACTTACGAGTGCCCCAACTTACGAGTTTTCCGAGTTACGAGCTGTCGCTAGGTCAATTTTTTGCTTTGAGTTGTAAGCCAAAATCCGAATTACAAGCAAGCTTCAGATACGCTGCCACTAGTTGGAGCTGTATCTGAAGTCAAATCCAACTCGGTACCCAAAGGAATGTCGGGTACTTCATCCCATCCCACATGCTCTTCCAAGACATAACTGGAAGGATAATACTCCTACACTAAGCCCAGATTGTAGTGAGGCACCTTGTCCCTTGTTTGACTCTTGTATAAATCTGGGGAAGAGGTAACTTCCGTTTCAACACTCAAGAGATTTTCCAGAAACATTAAGGTGGGTGGAGTACTGACAGTGGTGGGTGTAGTAGTCATGGTGGTGGGTGGAGTAGTGATGGTGGTGAGTGGAGTACTGATAGTGGTGGGTGGAGTAGTAATTGATGGGTGGAATAGTCATGGTGGTGGGCATAGTAGTGATGGTGGTGGATGGAGTAGTGATAATAGTGGGCGAAGCAGATATGGTGGTGGGTGGAGTAGTGAGGATGGTGGGTGTAGCAGAGATGGTGGTGGGTGGAGTAGTGAAGGTGGTGGGTGGAGTAGTGAAGGTGGTGGGTGGAGTAGTGAAGGTGGTGGGTGGAGTAGTGAAGGTGGTGGGTGGAGTAGTGAAGGTGGTGAGTGGAGTAGTGAAGGTGGTGGGTGGAGTAGAGATGGTGGTGGGTGGAATGGTGAAGGTGGTGGGTGTAGTAGAGATGGTGGTGGGTGTAGTAGAGATGGTGGTGGGTGTAGTAGAGATGGTGGTGGGTGTAGTAGTGAAGGTGGTGGGTGGAGTATACAATATTTCTTATTTTTAAATACATTTTTCTTATTTAAAAGCCCATAACAAAAAAATTGGAGTGGTTTTTTGGGGGCTGGAATGGATTAATGGCATTTCAGATAATTTCAATGAGGAAAATTGATTTGATATATGAGCAAATTGAGTTACGACCTTGGTCACATAACGAATTAAACTCATAAGTCAAGGTACCACTGTATATTCAGAGCATTTCGGACAAATTAGGTAAATTTTGTCCCCAGGATGTGACCCACACCAGTCAACTAGCACCCAGATACATATCTTACTGATAGGTGAACAGGGACAGCAGGTGTCTTAAGGAGACAAGTCCTAATGTTTCCACCTGTACTGAGGATCGAACCATGGACCTCAACGTGTGAACTGAGTGCACTAGTAATCGAGCTATAGGACAATGTGAAGGAATGTCAAAGGTTACATTCCTGAACCTACAAATAAAAATGAATACATAATTACTAAATTTATTTTCTAAAGCAAAGCTTATAAGCATCAGAAACATATTAGATTATGCTATAACCTTTGGAGACAAATTAAACTTCAGGCCAGTTTAGAGCTTAATTATTTGATTTTAATAATAATGATAAACTTTAGGCAGATACAAAAAAAATCATATTTCACCATCATTAAATTTTATTTTAGCTCTTGCTTCCAATACCATAGGCATGGTAGGATTTTTTTAGAATCACTGTTGGTAGAACCTTTTTTCTTATCACCTACGATCAATAGGTTATCAATCACAAAATTGTTCAAAAACAGCCAAATCTTTCACAAGATGCAGACTTCTGAACACGACATTTCTTTGTACACATTTTTACCAGAAAAAATTAAGATGAGCAAGTTCCTGGTGCAACGATGAGCCATGCAAACGGTGAATATTTAAACCAAACCATACCCCGGCCGGGATTGAACCCGCGGTCAGAGAGTCTCAAAACTCCAGCCTGTCGCGTTAGCCACTAGACCAGCTAGCCACAATAAGATTCGTCCAACTAGGTATATTTCTACACCATAGGAAGGTTAGCGCAGGCACCACTGTGACCACAAATGCAAGTTTTTACAGACGAATCTCCAGCTAGCGTGGCCGTGACGAACTCTAGCTCAAGTCCCTTCACTGCCGTCAACATGACTCACGAAATCGTAATGACACGATTTGCAATCGTGTCATTACGATTTCGTGAGTCATGTTGATGGCAGTGAAGGGACTTGAGCTAGAGTTCGTCATGGCCACGCTAGCTGGAGATTCGTCTGTAAAAACTTGCATTTGTGGTCACAGTGGTGCCTGTGCTAACCTTCCTATGGTGTAGAAATATACCTAGTTGGACGAATCTTATTGTGGCTAGCTGGTCTAGTGGCTAACGCGACGGGCTGGAGTTTTGAGACTCTCTGACTGCGGGTTCAATCCCGGCCGGGGTATGGTTTGTTTGCAATCGTGTCATTACGATTTCGTGAGTCAGTAGTGGTGAATATTTATAGTGAGAATTTAGGTAAAATGAAGATTAATGGTTAATTAAATCTCTGTATGAGCAGAAAAATGGATATTAGAACAGAAAATAATACAGTAGTACTGTGTCTATCATGTACATGATTGTGATCATAATATACGATTTGATAATTTGAAACTACTGTTTAATTCTGATAATTCTATAGAAGCAAATTGTAGATTAAACCTAATTACATCAGTTCCAGACTTTAATTTGTCTAAAGGTCGATTTGAATTGAATACAACAATTTGCATCCAAGTTAGTGTAAATTTCATAAAATGCTTGGCAGTAAAGTTGTTCCAAGTATTTGAGGTCTGATCACTCCATGCCATGGTGATTCTGAAAAGTATTTCTGAAGATCCATACACCATATAAGCTTGATGGATGCACCATCAAATCAATTATGGGTATGAAGGCACAATATACAGAATAAGCTTTTATTATCTGATGTGCTAATAATCACCAATTCTTGGCACTGTCATTGGGATGTCCCCTTCTTTAATAATAAATATGGTATTCTGCCATGCTGTAAGGTGTGCATGTTTTTTCCGATGAATGATGTCTACTATTATGAGTCTTACATTCATACTGGTGTTTCCAAAATTTAATGCCTATGATCTGTGATATTTCCCCTATGTATTGTTCACTGCAACCTGCACTTGGAATGGTGTATAATAACAATAATAATAATATCTATTTTTAATATAAGTACATGTACAAGGTATACAGACCTAGTTGACATCAATGACATACTACTATACAGAAAGCCACTTGTTATGCAGAGCATTTCGGGCAAATTAGGTCAGTTTTGTCCCAGGATGTGACCCACACTAGTTGACTTACTCCCATGTACCCATTTTACTGATGGGTGAACATAGAGAAGCAATGTAAAGAACACGCCCAGTGTTTCTACCCTTGCTGGGAATCGAAGCCAGACTCTTTGCCATGTGAAGCGAGAACTTTAACCACCAGGCCACGGGGCACTGTGACCACACAAGCACTGCTGCTATATTTTTTTGTGTCTAGGTCTAGTAATGCCATGAATGACTTTTCACATGGCATCTGTTAAGTTAGTGCCACTTCTCTTCAGTGCCTTGGTTAATAGATCTGCACTATTAACTGTTGGAAAAATAAAGTGCTTGTCTGAACTGTTCTCTGTTGTAAGGGATGGGATTTCTGGGCTTCCTTTTTGCAATCTTTGATGAATTGTGACAAATTTTAGTGCAGAAAAGTTGCTGCTCATAGTGTTATATTCCTCTTCCAAAAATTAGACAATAGAAACTCAACATTTTATCAAAAAGAAAGGGTAGAAACTATGGGCATAATTCTTTACACTGGTTGTCTATGTTCCCCATCATTAAAATGGGTACCTGGGTGTTAGTCAGCTGGTGTGGGTCACATCCTGGGACAAAACTAACCTAATTTACCCGTAATGTTCCATACGACAAGCACCTTTCTGTATAGTAGTATGTCATTGATGTCAGCTAGGCCTGTATACCTTGTACATGTACTTGTAGAAATAAAGATATTATATTATTATACATTAGCATTAGCAGACCTGGACATATAGAACCAATTAGCAATAGTGCTGCTGTATACACCATTTCAGGTACTAGCTGTGAGAAACAATACGTATGTAGAAGAAACATCACAGAGCTGAGATACCAAAATTTGAGAACACCAGAATGCTTGTATGACTCGAAACACTAAAAAGGCATGCATCATTCATTGGGACAAGACTGTGCACCTTATGGCATGGAAAGATACTAAATTTGTTACTGAAGAATAGGACAGATCATGATGACAGTGCCTGGAATCAGCACTCATTGGCACAACATACACTATGTTCCTTTAGCCTAGCAAAAACCTTGGCACACATCATCGAACATGGGAAACACCTGGTCCAGAATTGAACAGTTCAAACCTAAGTAATAAAGTGGTAGGCAGACTTCAATGCTCTGCTTATAGCATCATCAGTAACTGACAAAGGATTCCTTATTGTTCTTACTACACTTTTCATGATTATGACTTGATAAAACACACCCTTGAACAAAATCCCAATAAAAGCTTATTCTGCACATTATATCTTTACATCCATCAAACTAATGTCTATTACTTCTTTTGGGGTCCTTATATAAATGTGTGCTGAGCACCAGGTAGACTTCTAACAGAGATCTTTTGTACAAAATTTGGCCTGGTAGGTATGGCTGTAGACTAGTAAATATTTGCCACTGGCTCAGTCCCCAAACTTACCTTAATAAAGGAATAACTTAAAGCATTCATTTTTTTTTCTTTTTCATGTAAAGTGAACCTGACAGTGCTGAATGAGAGAAGACCAGATACCAAGATCTGACCAGCAAGGGCCAGTAAGCATATTGCAGTACATGTTTTAGGCTTATTAAGACAAAATTAATTTGACCCAACTATATTTTTCCAGATTCGATAATGAAATTCTTTCCTTTTGATGTCCTATGTGTAGACATTATTTCATATGTGCTTGTGATGACTTTAGATGTTAATTAAGATACGGTAATGAGGCATAATCTAATAGTCAAATCCACATTTATTAAAAACATATTTTTGTACAAGAATAAACATTATCTATTAACATGTTTTCGAAAAAAAAAATATAATGAAATGCTATTCCCATCCATATAGATTATTCCTACCCACTCAACTAATGTTCCTGTATTGTGTGTTAGTTCTAATATATTCTGAAGTAAATGGATATATTTATCCAAAGCCCATAAGTTGTGTTTTTTTCATTAACCAACATTCTGTGTTTTAAGATGTACAGGGCACACACCCATGTCAGGGACAGGTACTGAAGTCTTTTTCGAACTTGAAAAGAACGTTAAAACAGCCCAAGACCATTCCATGGGTTTTCAAAGCAATTTCCTACTTCTCCTTAGTTTACTTATCAGAGAGGTACTTCGGTGTCTGGATAAATAATAGCTTTTTCTATCATGGCCAGGTTGAAGGTGTATCTCAAGGCTGTTCTTAGAACAACTCATTATTATTATGGGGGAGCAATAAACCCATAGGGATTATACAGTGCCTCTGTGTGGAGAGGGGAAATAGGCATAAGGCATTTAGGTTTAATTCAGGGAACTGGAGCACATCCAATTCCCTAGATCAAGAGCCCCTCACCAGCATCAAGGAATCTCCCTTAAGGGGAGTATAACTCTATTTGTCATTAATGACTTTGCCTTGACTCTCCCAATGTTTTGTCATCTTTGTCATCAATTTTGTTCAAGCTTGTTCAGGCACCTACTGTAAACTTATAGTATAAGGTGCAAAACAGTTGTTTTGCATCTATATCGCTTGGTTTGCGATATTTGCATATTGTAGTACAAGGTATACAGGCCTAGCTGACATCAATGACATACTACTACTGTACATGTATAAAGAAAGCCCTTTGTTATGCAGAGCATTTCGGGCAAATTAGGTCAGTTTTGTCCCAGGATACATACATAGCTGACATCAATGACATACTACTATATAAAAAGCCCCTTGTTGTTATGAGCATTTCGGTCAAATTGGGTATTATTATAATTGAGGGGGAAACGCTAAACCCGGAGGATTATACAGCGCCTGAGGGGGTATGTGGAAGGTATTCAGGTTTAATTCAAGGAACTGGAGAACAGATCCAATTCCCTAGATCTTGAGCCTCTCACCAGCATCAAGGAACCTTCCTTGAGGGGCAACTTAGGTAAAATTTGTCTCAGGATACACACATAGCTAAGTCACATCAATGACATACTACTATATAAAAAGCCCCTTGTTGTTAGAAGTATTTTGGGCAAATTAGGTAAGTTTTGTCCCAGGATGCAACCTACACTAGTTAACTAACACCCAGGTACCTATTTTACTGACAGGTTAATAACATGGATGGCAGGTGTCTTAAGGAAACACTTACTATGTTTCCACTCGTACCGGGGATCTAACCCCCCCCCCACCCCGACTTCAGTGTGCGAGCTGAATGATAAGATAAGATTAAGATAAGATTCTCTTCGGATTTTTAACCCCAGAGGGTTAGCCACCCAGGATAACCCAAGAAAGCCAGTGCGTCATCGAGGAATGTTTATTTATTTATTATTTATTTTTATAATTTGAACATACATACAGAGGTACAAAAAAATACAGGTAAGAGCAGCATGCCAAAGCCACTTGTATGCATAGCATTACGGGCTGGCTTAAAATTAACTAAGCAATGATGTAATCAGTGATAAAACATTACTGAAAACAGATAACAATAAAGCACAAATGAGTATTACAAAGACAGGTCATATGGTTGCATGCATTGCTGTACATTCAGTAGAATGGAGTATTCTGTTAGGTAGTGTATTTAAAAAATAACAAAGTTAGATTGGGTCTTAGGTTTAACATTTATGTGATATAATTGTGAGAAACATTTAAGATATACAATTTATAAGGTTCAGTTATTCAGTATTTATTTGGGGTCCTCAATTTTGTCCCCCAGGCTGCGACCCACACCAGTCGACTAACACCCAGGTACCTATTTGCTGCTAGGTGAACAGGACAACAGGTGTAAGGAAATACGTCGAAATGTTTCCACCCCGCCAGGAATCGAACCTGGGTCCTCCGTGTGTGAAGCGAGCCCTAAACCTACTTACCGAAGGTGAGTAGGTTTAGGTCTTTAAAGATTGGGTGAGGGGGTGTGTTGTCTTGCATTGGATTACATGTTAATTCTTACTGCGGCTTTCTGCTGGGTTATTATTGGCTTTAGGCGAGTTGCTGCTGTTAATCCCCAGGCACAAATAGCATAGGTGAGGTAGGAATAGATGAGTGAATATTATAGTATGAGTAGGGCTGATTGCGGTACGTAGTAACGTATCGTGGATAGGATCCCAACTCTTTTGGATACTTTTATTTTTTTTTTTTTTGTTATTTGTTGGATATGGGTGATGAATTTCAGGTTGCTGTCAAAGTGCAGGCCCAGGAATTTGCCCTCATTATGTTTAGCAATAAGAGTGTTGTCAATCGTTATGTTCAGCTAGGCAACCCCTGTTCTTCTCCCAAACAAAATGTAGAAGGTTTTGTCAATATTAAGTTTATTAGCAGTCATCCAGGTTGACATTTTTACTAGTTCTTCGTTAACAATAGTGCTAAGTGAGGCAAGATTAGGGTGGGAGATGACGTAAGTCGTATTGTCAGCAAAGAACAAGGGACCAAGGACACTTCCCTGTGTCAACTACAACTTTTATATTATCCTGTCTACCATCTTACTAGCATATTATAACCAAGTCATTGCCATTTTTATTTTTATCATTTTTTTTTATTATTCTTTTGCTACCTTAACTTGTGTATTTTATCCTGTCAATTTAAATCTAGTTATACTCTAATTCTTGTAAACAACTTATATAAGACCTTAGTGCAATTACAATTGAGAGTCTTGTGCCTTTTTTATATTATTAGATTAAATTCAGTTGTACTATAGCTCATTGTAGCTCAATACATAGTCAATACCAAATTCATTATATTAGACCATAGTGCAGTTACTAGTGAGAGACTGGTGCTATTTTTAATTTGTATTTTTATATTATTAGATTAAACCTAGTTGTACTATAGCTCATTCTAGCTCAAAACATAGACTCCACAAAAGTCATTATACTAGACCTTAGTGCAATTACAAGTGAGAGTCTTGTTCTATTTTTAATTTGTATTTTTATATTACTAGTTTATACCTAGTTGTACTTTAGTTCATTCCAGCACAACACATAGACAACATCAACTTCATTATGTGTAGTAATGACTATACTCTATATGACCAAAATACTCTAGCTATATACTTGTCCAAACTTCCCACCACTACAGATATCAGTAGTACTAGAACCCAACACACAACTCAGGATATAAATAACCATAGTTTAAACCTAGAAGATGATTGATCACGTTGACCCTGATCTAAACCTCCATAATCTGACACCCAATCAAAACCTATTACACAGCATCACAAGCGAGCACTATCCTAAACAATGCTAAAAGTCTATCAGTACTTAACTACAACATCAGGTCCTTAAGCAAACACTATGATGACCTCCTGGCACTCCTTGAATCACTAAAGACACCCTTCTCCTGCATTATTCTTACTGAGACCTGGCTTAAGCAGGACACAATAGATATCTACCCTCTACCAGGATACACATCAATTCACAACTGCAGACCAAACCAAGTTGGGGGTGGAATTGCAATCTATTACTCTAACCAATTACCTTGTATTAGCACCACTTGCTTTAGTGATGAATATGGGGAATACATTTTTGCTAATTTTACTGTAAAAAACCATAAGACACCTATAACAATCTGGAGTTTACCTAGAGAGAGTTCCGGGGGTCAACGCCCCCGCGGCCCGGTCTGTGACCAGGCCTCCTGGTGGATCAGAGCCTGATCAACCAGGCTGTTGCTGCTGGCTGCACGCAAACCAACGTACGAGCCACAGCCCGGCTGGTCAGGAACCGACTTTAGGTGCTTGTCCAGTGCCAGCTTGAAGACTGCCGGGGGTCTGTTGGTAATCCCCCTTATGTATGCTGGGAGGCAGTTGAACAGTCTCGAGCCCCTGACACTTATTGTATGGTCTCTTAACGTGCTAGTGACACCCCTGCATTTCACTGGGGGGATGGTGCATCGTCTGCCAAGTCTTTTGCTTTCGTAGCGAGTGATTTTCGTGTGCAAGTTCGGTACTAGTCCCTCTAGGATTTTCCAGGTGTATATAATCATGTATCTCTCCCGCCTGCGTTCCAGGGAATACAGGTTTAGGAACCTCAAGCGCTCCCAGTAATTGAGGTGTTTTATCTCCGTTATGCGTGCCGTGAAGGTTCTCTGTACATTTTCTAGGTCAGCAATTTCACCTGCCTTGAAAGGTGCAGCAATATTCCAGCCTAGATAGAACAAGTGACCTGAAGAGTGTCATCATGGGCTTGGCCTCCCTAGTTTTGAAGGTTCTCATTATCCATCCTGTCATTTTTCTAGCAGATGCGATTGATACAATGTGCCATTTACCGGATACCTCACACAAGCATCCCAAATTTCAGTGAGAAATTAAAGTCACTAATAACAAACAGACAAATGAATAAGCACCACCTTCTCTTAGCTGGAGACTTCAACATCAACCTTGGCTTACTAGATGATCAGCCTGTAACTGATTTCATCAACAATATGAACAACACACTTCTCATACCAACAATAACTAAACCAACCAGGCTCACTGAGACAAGTGCAACCATAATAGACCACATATGGACCAATATACTAACCCCCCTTAAATCAGGGATAATCACAGATAGCACTACAGACCACTACCCTACCTTCCTCCTGACAAACATTAGTAAACCACCACTTGAATACAACAGTCTCAATTAGACTCCATGACGAGGCCTCAATAAGGAAGTTCACAGCTGACCTAGAGACTGTTGACTGGCCTACAGAATTCTCCAAAGCCAATGGTATTGATGACTGGACAGACATTTTTCTTAACAAATTACTTAGACTATACAACAAACATTGTCCTACAAAACGAAACAGATCACAAACAAACGGCTTGGTTGCCCATGGCTAACCAGCACCATTCTGAAATCCATTGACAAGAAACACCAATATGAAAAGCAATATAGACAGGGCTTAATACACAAACACTCTCTCAGATTCTAGGGACCCACAAACTGAAAAAAACCAAGAATATTGTCCTAACTAAACCTAATGAAACACCACTACATCCCACTGACACAGCTAACAAGATAAACGACTTCTTCTCAACCATAGGATCTAATCTCGCCAATAAAATCCCACATACCAATGCCCATGCCGGGGACTACCTAGATGGGAATTTCCCAAATTCCTTCTATCTTGCACCAACTGAGCCCTCGGAAGTCACCGAGATTACCTGGAGTTTACCTGGAGAGAGTTCCGGGGGTCAACGCCCCTGCGGCCCGGTCTGTGACCAGGCCTCCTGGTGGATCAGAGCCTGATCAACCAGGCTGTTGCTGCTGGCTGCACGCAAACCAACGTATGAGCCACAGCCCGGCTGGTCAGGAACCGACTTTAGGTGCTTGTCCAGTGCCAGCTTGAAGACTGCCAGGGGTCTGTTGGTAATCCCCCTTATGTATGCTGGGAGGTAGTTGAACAGTCTCGGGCCCCTGACACTTATTGTATGGTCTCTTAACATGCTTGTATGGTCTCTTAAGTCACTTAAAAATAACTCAG